GGCTTCATTACTTAGTATGCACTTAGGTATTTCTTTTGGTTTGGAGATGCCATGTGAAATTACTCACATGTGCAGGATGCAAAGTTTAGGAACCTCTCTCTGACAGACAGTTAATTGCTGCTTCCTGACGAAGGAGCCTCTTACCCACAGCCAGCCACCTCTGTGACCCATTTGGGCCTCTCCGTATTTCCCATGTGGCAGCAGAATCTCCCTGGAAAGTTCACCACACACAGGCAGTCAGAATCCTAAGGAGCTTTCATGCATGCCTTGAAGAAGGCAGGACAGAGGAGCACACCTGCACATACACTCAAACACACGGAGAGTGAAAGAGAGAGCAGCATAAAAGAGCTAGCAAGCAAGGGAAGGTGGGGGGAAACCAAAGATGCTAACCCACCTAGAGACTTATTAGAGAGAACCCACTACCCAGACTGGGAAACCAAGAGCGGAAAATACACAGGTCCATCTAACTCTGTACATATGTCTATGGTATGTGCACACAGAGTGAATGAATTTGACCAACCCTCAGCCTCACTGGGTGGTGGGGCCCTAAGGAGTTCTGTGTTCCCTGCACACAGTTCAGTTCCATATAAAGATGTTTTTGGGGAACATGACTTCTGAGCTGTCTCCCAGCTCTGCAAAAATGACTGCTTTGAGTGCTCACGCTGTGCTGGGTGCTATGGTAAGTGCTTTGCATGCATTGTCTCATGAATTCTAATGACAATCTTGACTTTTGTTTCCTGGAGGGAGGAAAGGTGAAGCACCTAATCCTATGCCCTAGACCTGGATGGCAGGTGGTGAAGATGGGAGTTCACTATTGCCCTAGAGGAGAATCAAGCAGTGAAGTGTAACAGAATGAACTAACACTTACAGCTAGCTAATTAGTCATCACTATTAACTGTTAGCAAGAATTTAATCAATTTAACCAGGTGTTATCATTGTGTTCATATTTCTATTCTCAAGGACAACTGTTAATGTTTAAGATCTTCCAATATGTATCAAATGAGTAAATGACTGACCCCAGGAATAAGGTGTGAAAGGACAGTTCTGTCCTGTTGACCTGTGTCCAGCAACCATGGATTTCCTTTATAGTAAGATGCCATTTACAATAATGAATAAGACTTGCTGCTGTCACTCCCTAGAGTCAGAATTTTGTGGCCTTGTATGACTTCGAGTTTACTGCTCCATCTGTGTCTTGGTTTCCCACTTGCAAACCAAGAATAACGGTGAGGTGGGGTGGCTCATACCTCTAATCCTAGCACTCTGGGAGGCTGAGGTGGGTGGATTGCTTGAGCTTAAGAGTTTGAGACCAGCCATTGCATCTCTACTAAAAACAGAAAAAATAGCCAAGTATTGTGGTGGGCACCTGTAGTTCCAGCTACTTGGGAGGCTGAACCAAGAGAAATGCTTGAGCCCAAGAGTTTGAGGTTTCTGTGAACTATAAACACCACACTCTAGCCTGGGGTAACAGAATAAGCACCTGTGTAAAAAAAATAAAAATACAATACCTCCTTTCAAACTGGGAATAAAATATACTATATATGTCATCTGAAAGGATTAAAGAAATTAACACATACCACATTCTCAACTTGGTGGTTGTTTTATAGAAAGTTCCCAGTTCATGTTGGGAAGAATGAGTGTGTTCTAGCCCCTGCGTCCACTAAGGTATAAGCCTGTGACAGAGATCTCAGACCCATGACCTCTGCAAGAATGAGTGACAAACTGTGGGAGACTTCCAAAGCTGGCACCCATGGGTAATAGCCACTGTTCATGACATCCACTTAGCACATTAAATCTGCATTCTAACCTTGTCAAGGCCCATTTCCACAATACAGCAGCAGACACTGAGGCGCAGAGAGATCCCAGCTGTGCTCAAGCTCAGCTGGTGCTGTCACACTGCAGATGGTACCGAGAGGAAGAGGACTCCCACTTGGGATGCCAGTCATCCCCTCCCCAGCCCTAAGGCCCACAGTGGTCTGTCTGGGGCCTGCCAGTGGTCTGCACTACCCCATCTTCATTTCTCGTGCACATTTTATCATCCCTCCCCAGTTCCAAAACCCTCAGCAGCTCCCTTTGGTCTCTAGGAGAAAGCCCAAATTCCCCAGCACAATGTCTTAGACGCTTTAAGAGCTGGATCCTGCCAGTGTCTCAGCCTCTTTTGTTCTGTCAGCCTACCTCACATGTGTCAGGCATTTTCAGGCCTCCATACCCCAGAATTGACTATTTTCTTCTGCTTCTCTTTCCCTCACTTTCCTACATCTTCTGAGGTCACAGGACAGAT